CGAACCCTCGGCGGGAGCGCCACTGCACTTCCCAAGCGGCGCACTATAGCAGTGTGCCACCAGGCCGGCCCAGGAGCGAGAGTTTAATGGGGACAGAGTTTCAGTTTGGGAAGACGAGAAAGTTCTGGAGATGATGGTGGTGATGGCTGCACAGCCATGTGAATGTGCTTAATGCCACGGAACTGTGCACTAAACATGTCCGAGAAGGTGAATTTTTTTTTTTTTAAAGATGACCGGTAAGGGGATCTTAACCCTCGACTTAGTGTTGTCAGCACCACGCTCACCCAGTGAGCCATGGCCTGTTTCAGAGAAGGTCAATTTTATGCGATGTGTTTTTCACCACAATAAAATTTTTTTTTAATATATTGGTTTTTCCCATTAAAAACTTGGAAAACTCAGAAAAATTAAAAAAAAGAAAACAAAACTGTCAGCTGCTATTAACGTTCTAGTTCCCTTCAGCTTTCTTTTTTTAACGTTGTTTATGGATGGACCATTTATATCATTTTGATTCCTGCTTTTCTTTGACATTATAACAACTTTGATTTATCACCTGTTTACCATGCGCTTTACATTTATACTTTAATTCTTCTGACAACCTTATGAGACACATCTTTTTTACACAAAATTTACCACTTTAACCATTTCAAAATGCACAAGTCACTGTTAGTACATTCACAGTGCTGTGCAATCATCACTATCTAGTTCCAGAACATTCCGTCACCACAAAAGGAAGCCCCGTCCCCATCAGCAGTTGCTCCTCATCCCTTCCCTTAGTCCCTAGCAGCCACAAATCCACTTTCTGTCTCTATGGATTTGCCTGTTCTGGACATTTCATTCAAATGGAGTCACACACTGTGTGGCCTTTTGTGTCTGGCGTCTGTCACTGAGCGTGATGTGTTCAAGGTCCATCCATATGGTAGCGTGTGTCAGAGCCTCGTTCCTGTTCATGGCTGAGTGATGTTCCATTGTGTGGATGGATCATATTGTGTTTATCTATTCATGAGTTGATGGACACTTGAGTTGTTTCCACTTTTTGGCTATTATGAAGAGATATAGAATTTTTTTTTTGTCTTTTTCGTGACCAGTAAGGGGATCGCAACCTTTGGTGTGGTGTCGCCCACACTGCGCTCAGCCAGTGAGTGCGCCGGCCATTCCCATATAGGATCCGAAACTGCGGCGGGAGCGTCGCTGCGCTCCCAGTGCCGCACTCTCCCAAGTGC